GAACAATAGAAGCAGCCTGGATGGGTGAGGTCAGGCTCCCACTGAACCACGATTTTTAGTTGTAGTTTTTCAGTCACAGTTGCTGCAGTCTTGAAGCTGGATGTGGAAGCTGTTTTTCTTCTCTCTGTTACAACTAAAAGCTGGGGTTCTCTTCTGCTAGAATTGCATGTGAGACAATCTATTTTACTGAATTTGCCTTTCCCAAGGGTGTGTTTATGGGATATTACTATTTTGGTGCAGTTGCTGTTTAGTAGTTAAATGATCTGTTTTTCTGTTAAGTTTTCTAGTAGAGTTAAGTTATTCCAATTTCTTCTGTCTTTTATCTATAGTATATGAATAAAGTGTGGTTTGCTTCAAGACTGACAGTTTGACCAATCGAATTACATCTGGAACACAATGCCTGGCACTTACCTTTAAAATAAGAAAAAGTTAAGGTTTAGCCATCTTAATATATTTTGAGGGGATTTAGTTTGGGTCCATAACACTTTCTGCTCTGATTCATTTGGACCGCTGTCATCTATTAGCCAGAAGGTTGTGCATTCTAAGTTGATATTAATACCTCAGAACACATTAGACAGATGTGTAAAGTGGCTTCTGTATTTCCTACACAACATAGACTAGAAATCTACAGTGAAAACAGAAAATGTTGGAACACTCGGAACAGGCAGCATCTGTGGATAAATTCTTCAAGTCATTGACCTGAAAGGTTAACTCCATCTCGCTGTCTACAGATGCTGCCTGATTTGCAGAGTGTTCCAACACTCTTTGCTTTCACTTCAGAAGTGCTAGATCAATTTTAAAGTGCTTTGAGGTGACCTGAGGTTTGGATTGATACTTTAAAAATGCATGTTGCTTAGCCTTTTCTCGGTTGCTGATTCAGTCAGTGGGTATCTGATTCATGTACACCAAAGCAGTAACAGGGATGACACAATAAAAACCGAAAGAAATGTGGATGCTGTAAATCAGGAACAAAAACAGAAGTTGCTGGAAAAGCTCAGCAGATCTGGCAGCATCTATGAAGAAAAAATCAGAGTTAATGTTTTGGGTCCATTGCCCCTTTCTCAGAACTGATGGTCGGTGGGAAAACTGTTTTCCCAGCTACCATCAGTTCTGGGGAAGGGGCACTGGACCTGAAAGGTTAACTCTAATTTTTTTCATCACAGATGCTACCAGATCTGCTGAGCTTTTCCAGCAACTTCTGTTTTTGACTAGGGATGACACAATTGACCTTGATGTCCCTGGATTCCTTCTCCTGCCCCAGCTAGGTTTCCTACTACTGCTTGCTCTCCATTGGGGTAACAAGAAACAGATTCAGGTTGGTGAGGACAAGAGAGATGGGTGAGCAAAATGGGGTAAGATGGTGGCAATGACAGGACGCACGGTAAAGAAGAGTTTAGTTTAAGGTGGAGTTTTGAATGCCTGGAGAAGCGCAGACTGTGAGGCACCAAAACAATGGAAAAGATTTTGTGCTTCAAGATGGTGAAATGTGCAGAAATGGGCAACGTTACACTGGTTTAATGTATGCTCCTAATGACCTAACTTGGCCTGAATGAGCACACTGGAATAGGAACGGATTTGAGTACTTAATCCTTGGCTCCTTCCCCACGTATATTTGCAATATAGTGAGACTGCCATGAAATTTCACAGAGAGACAATTGTCCTTCCAACCAGTAAACACTGCATCACTTCCAATTTTACATACATCCTACAGGGAGATGGAGGTGCTGAACCCCATCATCAGTTCCTGCAAACTCATACCTGCTCCCACGATTCCCTTTTCCATCATTTTGCCAATCACTTTTCAGTCTGTTCTCCTTCAAAACATGATTATACAGAATCATTTTCAACTGGCCCACTTCCATTGCAACAATGTACTCGGAGGAATTTAGTAAAAGGGTCACCAAGGAACGTTGCGACTCAGAAAATTCAACCACTGTCAGACCCTAAATAAAAACAGGAAGTGCTGGAGAAACTCTGCAGGTTTAGCAACATGCCTGTATTTCAAATAAAGAATAATATACGAAAGTAATGGGGAAGTTCCGCTTCTGTGGAGAGAATAGTGTCAATGTTTAGAGTACAATATGACTCTTCTTCTGAAGATGCTGCCAGATCTGCTGAGTTTCTCCAGCACTATCTACTTTTATTTCAAGTTTCCAGAATCCACAGTATTTTGCTTTTATATGGCTAGGTTTCTAATTGGAGTTAGCAGTATTTGAAGCAATTGGCTTCTGGCCATAATTTTGTTTTGTTGCTTTGCGCGCAATATACCCTAGTTAACATTTCAGCATTTTAATTAAGCAATCAAATGATATTAGATTTCATTACCTATAGGTATTACAGCACCGAATGTCAACAGGAGAGACAACAGAAATATATACTCCATAGCAAAGGGAAATTGAAGTCTCTTGCAAATCGATTTCATTCTATGTGCAATGGCACAAGCCGTGGAGAAATAAAATCTGGCCTACAGTGAAGCTTTTAGCTTCTCATTGCAGTTGCTTCCAGCAACGATGCTAACCCACACACTGCCAGATCTCTCACTCAGCGGGAGAAGGCACGACTATGGGTGCAGAATGTGTGTGCTCAATAGTGTTGGGCATTGCCAGTGAACCCTCAAAAGAGAGAATTATGGTCTGCAAGTGAACATATTGACAGTTGGAATATTCTGGTAAATTAACTCATCAGCTGTTTGCAAACTGGAACAAATGTCAAAATCCCTCAAAGTAAATGTATTGTTGATTTAGTATTTTTCATTTGATAGCACCTGCTGTATCTTCTTTTTCAAACAAAAATAATGTTTCCTTTTCAATCAAGGCACCATTACTAAGCTGTAACCCCTGTTGTAGTATAATTTTGGTTTATTTCTGATGTGGCCAAATGGCGCACATAAGCACTATAAAGACCCTGCATTAGTGAAAGTGACCGTACATATTTATACCTTTCCCTCCCCATTTTCTGCATTGTGGTAGCTTCATGCCACTCCCATTTTGTGCTGACTCATGTTATATTATGTTAAGTAATTTCGTACAAGTAATTAACACAATCTATCCAGTTTCTTTGTTATAATAGGTCAAGTGGTAGCTCATTTAAAGCAATTGTTGGCTACATTTTGAACAATTATTGTTCTGTTTTGAACTGCTGCCAATTTGAAAATTACTTGCTTGTCCCTGAGCGCTGCTGTTACTTTTAGTTGTATTAGAACTTTGCCTCGAAAGAGAAAGTTTTGCTCCCATTCATTCTGCAGTACTTCACTTCAGAATTGCAATTCAACAAGAGAAATTCTATTTATTTTACTAGCTGGTGAATTGATCAATTTTTCTCAGGCTTCCTGTGAATGGATGTGAGATGTGTTTACGTGAAAGATGTGGTAGAAATGGATTTGCTATACTTATACTTGTCTGCTTTATTTGCAATATATTTGTAGGAATTCAACAACAGACAGACCCTAAATAAAAACAGGAAGTGCTGGAGAAACTCGGCAGGTTTAACAGCTTCTGTGGTGAGGGGAACAGTTAATGTTTCAATTGCGAGTACTCTTCTTCAAATTGTCAGACCCTACCTTGACAAACAAATCAGTTTGAATTTAGTACAGGTAGCTAGTAATTTTCCAGTATTTTCATGGTTTTAAGACTGCAGGACTGATTGGCTGGGAGGAGGAGGTGTAGACATTTTTTGCCTCAGATGCACCAAACTGTAAATCACTCTTTTATTTAAATTGCAGACAGTTTTATATCAGAGTTGGGAACAAAAATACCCAGATTTATTGATTGAACTTAAATTCCACCAGCTGCCTTAGAGGGGCCACAAGGGGAGCAAAAAATGAGGCAGTGAGGATGGCAGAGAGCAGAGCAGGAAGGATAGCAGGGAATGGGGTGGCTTAATTTTTATTGAGGCTAGAAGTTGTACTTTGAGGAAATTGCAAAAATTGCTCATAAAAACCTATGTATCCGCAAATGTGTTAGTGTTCCCTTTGCAGATTTTATTTCTGAGCTAGCCGAGTTTCAGCTTCAATACACTTTCACATAAATCAAGATAAAAATATTAAATAAAAACCAAAAGAACTGCGGATGCTGTAAATCAGGAACAAAAACAAAGTTGCTGAAAAAGCTCAGCAGGTCTGGCAGCATCTGTGGAGGAGAAAACAGAGTTAACGTTTCGGGTCCGGTGACCCATCCTCAGTTCTCAGAAGAGATAAAAATATTGTTAGGGTGTGAATATGCCTAACATTGTAACAACTAATTAAGCAAATAACAGTGTTAATGTAACATTAGTTCTTCAACATCGAGTAAAATTACCTCATTTATTTTCACCCATGTTCTGATTTAGATTAGAATGCAAAGTGTTCCTGATATCTCATACTATCTTTTCTGATTTTATAAAAAAAAATCAGTTCTGTTTAAGACTAGTGTAAGTGAATGAAAAACAGTGAGTGGTGATTTCCAGTGATGCCCTTTATAGTTGATTTGAAAGTAAGCAACCTCATGTGGACATAACAGCAAGACACTGAGCTTTTCAGTTACTCTTAAGTGTTTCTGGTCTTCTTAAAAATTAATCAGCAACATTACACTATAATGTGATCAGATTCACATTTCTTTCGGGTAGGGTTGGGACAAATTTGACCTGCTTTACAGGTTGCTTTGTTTTGGATGGTTCTTAGGAAAAATGGTTTTCTTTTGCCTTCAGATCCTTTCCTATTATTATAATACAATTTTGCTTGTATCACTGCAGTGGGTAGATGAGCAAAACAGTAGAACTATTTATCCTCTAATATTACATTACATTGCACAGAAAATGACCTTTGCAATCTAATAATGGCCTGCTGTGAATCATTTAACATTTGCATGCAAAATATTACTGGCTTGTATGAATGCATAATCATATAAGTAGAGACCTTCTCAAATTAGGTCCTGAAATGTATTCGGATTCATCACGTTGTAGGGTTAATTCAATATGTTGCACACATCTCAGATATAACATTGCTGTTCTCCTCTTACATACAGCATGATCAACAACCCTATATTGTATACAGATCTCCTGGCTTTCAGATCCCTGTGGGATGTACATCATCCGGTAAGGAGGGCTTCATCATCTATTATCTACTATATGTTATTTGAGTTGGAGTTGGAGTGTGAAGGGGGCAAAATGTAAGTTGACCATTGTCATATTTCACTCTGCTCCATGTATCATGGAGTTGTTAAGTTGCACAGTGCAACTCGGTGAGTAGGAAATGAGATAACAAGGTTTAGAGCTGGATGAACACAGCATGCCAAGCAGCATCAGA